ATATATATAGTTTTTCATCATAAAGGTACCAAAATATTTTCCAGACATATTCCTGTGATATTTTCAGAAGACGATGACAGACTGAAGGGCAGTGCTTGGAGAGAAGATAAGCTTGAATGGTTTCATCTCTGCTTTGGATCATAGTCAAGTGAGGCAGTTTGGGACATTTTCCAGGAACTTCAAAAATCAGTCCCAGGCCTCCTGGAGAGAAATTATGATTAATTGCATAAAGCTAGTGGGGGGGTAGGAAGAAGGTAGAATGAGAACTTAGTGGGTATGACAATAGACAAAGTCCCTTGGTAAAATGTTCATCATCATCTTTAGTGACATGATAGAAATGTTTACTAGAAACAGTATCATATTTTACCTGTTTTTGTTCTGAATGAAGCAAATTTAAGTTTGAAGTTCCACATTTCCTTTGCTTTTAAGGGACATTTTTGGTATCCCATTATATCCTCTCAGATCCTTTCAGGATCTCTGCATGGAAGTCTACCTTCCATGGGCTTTTCTGACAGTGGGTTGTTTTATACCACCATCATAGACTGGTCCTTCAAAATACAGCTGGAGTCCTAGAAATGCCTTGAATCTTGATTCTTCCTACCCATGTGCTAGAATTGTCAGATAAAATACAGAACTCTTGGTTAAATTTATTTATTTATTTATCATTATCATTATTATTATTTTATGTTCTTGGTACTGGGTCTCACTATACTTATTAGACTCATAGTGATCCTCGTGTTTTCAGCCTCCCCAGTGCTGGGATTACAGACGTGCACCTTATCTGTTTTGGTTAAACTTAAATGTAGGATAATATTATTTGAGAATTAGTATGAGCCAAATATTGTGTGGGATATATTTATGTGTAAAAGTTGTTTATTGCAAATATGGATACCTGAGGATGTCTATAGTAAGTGTCTGACTAGCTTTGGAGTGTAATGATCTGGGTCCTCCAAATGGACAAAACATAGGAACACAATTCACATTCCAGTGTTCCACGTGGGATCAGGCTAATGTCTCAGATCCTACCTGAGATATCACTATTGCCTAGCTTATTCCCCTTCTGTGTTTTGCCTTTCTAACTCCCTTATTGGTTTTTCTTGAAATTGTCTAATTAGTAACTAATGTGCTTAGATTATTGAATTAATAACTAACCTGATTAGACCCTTTGACCTCTTTTCTGAGGGTCTGTTCCAGAAATAAAATGACCCAAGATATAGATCTAACAAATTATAGCATAAAAATGTGAAGGGATCTAGAGTCACTGCCTTGAAAAGCATTCTGCTTATTAACAACAGTTTACATTTACAACCTTAAAAAACCTCTCTTTTGCTTCCCATGTCCAGTTTCTAGCAACCAGTGAATGGCCATTCATCATGCTTTTCTCTAACCCATTCATATTTTTCCTTGCTTTGAAATTGCTGCAAAGAAATAAATCCATGAGACTACCAATAAAACATCATTCCATTTTGATATGATGTAAGTTTCAAAAATGAATGTCCAATCTCAGCTTCTCTAATGAAAGACAAATGAACCATGACAAAATAAGCATTGTAGAAAAGAAAGGAGAATAATTGCTAAGCCAGATCAGGTAACAGAACAAAGAGACTGCAATCTCAAAATCTCTTCAGATGATGTTAGTTAAAGAAAGATGGAACATCCACTGCCCCAACTTTCTAAGGAATTATTTTGGGAAAATGGAAAAGATGACAGTGGCAGTCCATTAATGAGTCATGATTGTGATAAACACATGTTCCAGGAAAAGGACATTTTGCTCTACTGATCTCCAGAGCATCTTTATTTCCTTCTAAATGGAGTAGAAAACACTGTTCTTGGCATATTAAAGCCAAAACAACCTTGTTTTTTTCTGGTTATCTGTAAAGCATTTCAAGTACTTCCAATTTAAAATATAAAGTCTACTTAGGGAACTTTTTCCAGTTTAAAATAAGAATGAGAAACTTCTGAGTAGAGTATATTGTGAAAAATGTCTGTATGTTTTACAAATTTACTGTTATTTATACCTTACAGCAGATAAGACACAACAACTAAACACAAACAGACTCTAGAATAACAGTATCAAGTATGGTGATATTGGGAAGCTTGCTCCTTATTCTTGTTGAATATATTTAAGACAAATACCTTGAAGTGATACAATTTGTTTTTGTTTGATTGATCTGAAAGCTTTTTGATTTTTGAAATAAAAGACTCTAATTCCTCTTTTTAGACACTGTTTCTCTTAAATGGTAGCTTGAAGTATAGGCCAAGATAGCTCAACAAAACAGTCTCTAGGAGAGTGAGCCAAAGGAGAAACAGTAACTTGGCTTCATATCATCTCTAAAGAATTTTTTTATGTATTTAGTATAGGTTCTACAGGGTTTCACTACTTAGATTGGACTCGTAGTGATCTGCCTGTTTACAGCCTCCCAACTGCTGGGATTACAGGAGTGTGCCACCTTGCCCAGTCTCAGTCATCTCAGTGCATCCCGGGGGTGGGGCAGGTACAGCAGGCCCGGGGATTGAACCCCTGACCCCTGTGTCTGCCTAAGGAGGCATTTTAATCCACTGAGCTATCTGGCTGGACCTTTATATTCTCTCTCTCTCTCTCTTTTTTTAAATCTAAAGAATTTTGATCACTACTGTCTGAGAGTCAGGAGTACAATAATCAAAAACAAATATGAGATATTTATAGAAAGTTTCAGTGTGATTCAATGTGGACCTTTTTTCAGTTATTTTGTTCTTGCTGCTGGGACAAAATAACCAACACCCATAATTAAGGAAGGAAGTGTTTACTCAGCTCACAGTTTGTGGAGCTTTCAGTCCATAATCAGCTGGCTCCAAGGCAGAGTGACACATGGAAGAAGAACAGTTTGTGTTGGCAGAAAACAGGAAAACAACAAGAGTAAACAGGAAAGAACAGCAGCAGCAGTGGCATAGACTGGGCTTCTCTCCCTTCCTTGTGCTGCATTTAGGCTATCCTTAAGTGTCACGCTTACACCCATAATCCCAGCAGCTTTCACACCTAGAACCCCAGCACTGGATCATAAGTTAATCACAAACTCTCCCTAATGACTGCATGAGGATTTGGGGGATACTTAGACGCAAACTATAACAGTTTTCTATAAAAAAGCAAACAAATTCTTTCAAGGGCAAAGGTAACCATGGCCAACTGTTTTTTTTTTTTTTTTT